GATAAATTTTCTTCAGGCCTGTACATTTATATGGCTATTGAAGTAATGAATTAAAAGATACGGGCCAGTAAATAATTAAGCTGTAGCTCGGGTTTGGAGAGGGGAGGGGAGGGGAAGGGGAGAATGAAACACCACAATTCCAGTCAGCGCCCCGGAGAAGGTGGGTCCCGGCGAAGGTAATTACACGCGGGTGGCTGGCTTGGTGGCTTTGACCCATGGTAACTGTGAGACCTATATGAAATTCTTCTGTGCGAATAGGACCGGTCCGCGCGTAGCCTGATTGCAGCCGCCTCTGCCGTAGCCAACAAACGCTGCCCAAGCAGCTTAGCTTGCCCAAGCAGGATAGCTGGATGGGACCTTGTAAATCACTCTGATCAAAATCCTCATGAGAGGACGACAGCCAAGTGAGTCGAGAACTGCTTGTGTCATGGTTTTCCAACCCTCAGTCGATTAAAAAGCGCAATGACCTCTCATCTACCTATCATGCGCTGAGACTTTGCCAGGGCAGAGTAGTTAGTCAAGCGCGGAGGTGCTCTCAGCACCCGTGTCGGCCAGCCAAATGACCCAAGTGCTCGCAGGATTGGTGGGCCTTAGGCAATTAAGGACTCGCCTACGAACAGTCAAGCCATTATCGCACCACGCGTGAGATGAATGGGGCAGCCGCCCATTGTGGCAGATGCGCAGCCGCAGGGTAACTGGACCTGATAAATACTGCGACACTTGCCAGAAACATTACCCTTGTCGAATTCTGTCTCGGAGGATGAATTTAAGTCCACGACGTCGCTCTTGTCCCACTGACATTCTTAGCAACATTTGGACCGAATGTGAAAGTGTGTTGTATGCTGAATATTTTGACCCATGTTCCCAATTAACCACCTGAGGATATTCATAAAGGCTTCACAGACAAAACTGCTATTTTCAGCTAAATGATGGAAAAACAAACTGACTGGGCGAAACACATGCATTCGCGTCCTTTTAGGGACAAAATGGGATTTGAGTCTTTCATGCACGAGGGGATTGTGTGGCCTAATGAGGATATGAAGCGGTTATTTTGTTGAAGCGGATGAACTTCAGCCCAAATACTCACGACTGCATTCGAACCATGTCGATGAGCATAGCTCCAGGGTCATTAATTAATTTCTGAGAAAATTCAAAAAATAGACCTGAAAAACTTAAGCATATAAGAGAGGGGGCATGAGCGACGATGAGCCGAATCGCCAGCATTTACGTCAACCGTCGGCATAAAATATGCCGAAGACGAGGAGGCAGTGTCGTAAATCAATCCAACCTGCGTGGTAAATGAGCGTATATGGGGCTGTTCCAACGATTCTGGTGGTTTTCATTTCAAATATGCAAATCAGCCTTCCAAAATAACTTGAAAACCATTGTGTCGCATAGGTAATTCCAATTTCATCGCAAGCTCCAGCAGAAATTGCATAAACAAAAGTGCTGGGTCGACTGATAGACAGGACGTCTTGCAGGTAAGTCAACAATCGAAACAAAATTGGCGAATCTTGTGTCTGGGCTTTTAAGTTACATCTGTACTCTGCATATGCGACAGCAATAGAGATTCGCATACTACTGACTGCCTGCTGGCAGAAAGCGTAGAGTACATTGAGTGACCTATCTCATGAAATGTTGGCTGAAATTCTGAAATGCGTTTTAGATTAGGAAGGATTACTTGGTCGCGGTTGTAATACTTCTTATCTTGTGGCATACTCTTATAACATTTTGGACTCGGCAGGATGTCGGCTTTTTGATGCACTTCTTTTCAATCTCCTGTAGAAAGCGTGCTCGGTAAAAAATGACTACTTAATTAGCATGCATTTTTCCTAATGATTTTTCGTGGTCTTGGAAATTCAAATATATTTTATAGAAACCATAAACAAAAATATGCCTTCTTTTAAGCAATCAATAGAGAATCATGACTTCTTTTTATTTTATACTTAAGGAAGGAGTATAATTAAATTTTAAAAAAGTTCTCTAATTTCCGAATAATTTGGAGCCTGATCATTCGCTGCATTAGCGCTTAGTGATTTCCCTCTGCAAGGTGCATGCGTTCCGCGTAAAGAAAATCACATATTTTTCTATGCCATTAAAGAGATATCATACAGAGCCCATAAAATTTTGCAATGGATGCGGACCATGTTGTACATTTCATGAGGAGCAGTGGTAAACGGCCAGGTACGATGCTATGTGAATGGACATTTCGCGGACTTAAAAAGTCTCATAATTAGAAACTTTTTTAAAACCTAATAATAATCCTTCCTTAAGTATAAAATATAAAGAAGACGTGATTCTCTATTGATTGCCTAAAAGAAGGCATATTTTTGTTTGTGGTTTCTATAAAATATATTTGAATTTCCAAGACCATGAAAAATCAATAGGAAAAATGCATGATAATTAAGTAGTCATTTTTACCCAGCACGCTTTCTACAGGAGATTGAAAAGAAGTGCATTGAAAAGCCGACATCCTGCCGAGTTCGAAATGTTATAAGAGTATGCCACGAGATAATCAGTATTACAACCGCGACCAAGTAATCCTTCCTAATCGAAAACGCATTTCAGAATTTCAGCCAACGTTTCATGAGATAGGTTACTCACTGTACGTGACCTATCTCATGAAATCTGAGAACGGAAACTGATGCGGGAATTTCTAGACGTCTTTAACGTTGCGCACTTTGTTCGCTCATCCACTTGCTTCGATAAGGTACCCTTTTCTTGCGCAGAACATGTGTGTACGTAATTATAGCAAGTAAAATTTCAGTAAATTTTAGCGAAAATGGATGTTAGAATATATTCGGGCAATTTCCTGTGCTAATACATGTCCCAGACTCCGGCTACACATCTGGGCGACTTTTTTAATGAAAGGATAGTAATGTGCCCGCGAGAGTTTTAGTAAACAGATTTAGCTGGACTAGAAATTTTATTTCATGTCCGACGTTAACCGTGGTAATAAACTTGCTAACGTAAAGATTATTTTAAGAAAACAAGAGGACTTATCAGTTTCTAAAAGTTAAATTAGCAGATGTCTGCGATTTAGTGCTCTAAAGTTCAGTAATGACGCAGATAGGGATTCCTTCATTCAAATGGGCTGTAGCTGTTTTTGCCGTTTGAAAAATTCTACCTGATATCACATAAATGACCACCACCAAATGGTCATCTGCAGTTTTGAGCATATGAAACACTACTTGTCGTGTAGTTCAGCTTCTGTGCATACCGTATTCAGCAATAGAACGAGCAAAGCATCAGCATTTATAGGGGCGGTTTGCCGTGCATTCATGATCGAAGAACGGAGTCTAAAAGCCAGTAAAAATAGTGAATTCATTGATATTTTGGCAGATTTTGAATAATTCATATTGACTCAACTTGACCCAAGTGTGATAAAACTCACGTCGTCCGGCGGGGCCTCGTAGCTCAGGTGGTTAGAGCGTTGGCTGTACTAAAGCCTTCCCCCTTACTGCGTGGGTTCGAATCCCACCGAGGCGCCGAGTTTTTCACAGTTGGGTCAATATGGAAAACAGTGAAAATGGCCCCAATGTATAGAGAAAAGCATGTTCTTATGTTTACGGTGGGAAAATATTAGACTTGTTTAGGAGCGTGAAAGAAACGCCCGAAAGTGTCAGATTTTTAACTGACCTCACCGTGCAAAAATGCAAAGTACACAGACATCCGTCAACGGAGTGCAGTAATAAAGCACTTCCTTAAGCGGTAACTTATAAATGAATGTTTTCTTATTGATAGAAGGCATATTCGTCGCTGACTTTCGTTGTGGACATAAATTTTTCTCGAAAATGAAGTTTGCTGTTTGAATGAGTCTTCTCATGTGATCCGAGCGATCACGTTCCGGAAAAGGAGCGCCCGAACACTCACTAATTCGCTAAATGCCTTCAAGATAAATCTTATTTTAAAGTTCTTAATGGACAGGTAATTCAGAATCTGTCTTTATGGACAAGCAGTTGAAAACACTGAAAATCATGAAGTATTTAGCAACATGTAGAGGTCGATCTGAAACTCAACGTAATCCAAAACGAAGGAAAAGTGTAAATTGATTTAGAGAAAAAAGGTTCTCTCTATAATTACAAAATTATATGTTTACGATCACGCCCGTCAGTTCTAGTTAAATTTTTTAAGCACCGATCGGCCTGACAGCATCTCACTTATGAAAACGTTTGTTCTTACGACGTCCCCAACGGTGAAACCAAGAAAAGTCCTCTCTCTCTTGTTGAACTGCGTATCGATCAACTCAAACGAGTCAAGAATGCCACGAATCCTCAGAAAACTGCTTTGAACTCTATACTCAGACTGTAGGCTGTTGGCAAACCGCCATACCTGAAATTGCACTAATTCTCAAAAGATACTTAGATGTGAACTTCACTAAAACACTATTTTTAAACGTTATTCTATTGGTGCTTTCATATTTACGGAGTTATTTTTTCATGAGAAGGCATTTTGTCATCTAAAAATAAAGTTGGCTAGAGTACAACCATTTTTGACTTCTTCGGGATTTTGCGCTTTTTCTAAAAAAACGGCATTTTGAAACAACGCAACACAGAATTTAATATTTCTTTTGGGTTTTTCAATTCTTTTGAACTTGCGCTTAGTTGGACCCATGAAATGGTGTCAGTGTGCGAGTGACTGCTTCGACACATTTCATGAGTTAGGTAACGTACTATATTTGAGGCTTTTACTTCGTCAAATTTGATGCATTTTAGCCCTAAAATTCCCATCCACCATCAGACCTAACGCCAAAAAACCTCGATCTGATGATTCCACTCAAAGTTTATGCGCTGCTACTTGAAGGATCTTGTAAAGCTTAGAAGTAATGACTGAAGTATCTGTGGGAGTTCGACAGTCGCAAGCAACGACACCGGTGACGCACTGCCCACTAAGCACCGACGACAATGCAATGACAAGACGATCGGGGACAGGATCGGAGGCTGAAAATAAAACAACAAGTATACGCCTGCCACACACGACCTGCATCCTGGGCCGTGTTTTCACAGAGACAGCCCCGAGCCTGACTCCCAGTCCTCGAACCGGTCGCCCCAAATGCACGACAGTTCGCCGTCGTTGCAAAAGATGTCCATCGGGTGCTTCCCAGCTTGGTGAAGCAGGCATGGTGACTTGTACGTGACTTGGCTTGTAGTGAATGCAGGTTTGCACAGCAGTTGCTGCACTCCCTCCTCCTCCTCCTCCTCCTCCTCCTCAACCACCTGGACCCGGTGTCAAGGCAGAGTCGAGATGGCCGTGGGCGGGGGAGGGCGCAGGTGAATGGCACGGTTGAGCCCGCACCTTGACGCTCCATTTCACATCCCCTGGTCCACACAGTAAATGACAATAATGTGCTGCTTACGACACATTAATCGGTTAGCTGACTGCTAGTCTGTACCCTCTTCGCCTGCGTTGTGGCAGAAACATCCATTTTTAATCTCCGCTTGAGCACGAAAAATACAAGAATGCGGAAATTGCTTCCTTCCAAATTCGGACACAGGGGCTTTTTAGTTAAACGGCATATAGTAAGACCCGCAAAACCCTGCATTGGATTCATGTCTGGGAGGAGGAGGAGGGGGAGAGCAAAGTGTATTTCTGTCAGAAGAGAACTTCCACAAAAGGTTCTTGTGACTATCCCTTTGCCATGGAGCTTCCTACAATTCATTACTGACCCACAGTTGCAATAATGCGTTGATTTTGGCCTATTAAGGGACAATCACACAGAGAAAATATGGCCAACCAGGTAACCAATCAGGAACGAGGTAATTAACTAACAATTCGCCTATAGGGATGCGGTCACGAGTGAGGCGCGTCATTTGAGGATAAAAATTATATTGACAGAATAACCTTACCGACATAGACCAGAGAGATCGGAGTGGAAATTTCTGACTCATTAGACGTCATCAGCCCAGCACGACAGTACTTCAACTTGCCACATCAGAGGCGTCTCTAGTCTCCAATTCAGTGCTACGGTGTTCCCTCTGGCCCGTAACTTTGGAAGGCAGAAGTTGATCCACCTGCCATTTTCAAACGCAACAAACTTGCCCAGTCTGTACTCCTTTTCCACAGCCTAACGGTTTCGACCATTCTGCTCACATTTAATTTCAGTGGGGCCCTTGCTCCTCAGTATTCCCTCGATACCCCGTAGCTCCTGTTTGATTCAAGTGACACAGTAGGAGATCTGGGATATACCGATAAAACGGAAGGCGACTGTGATAGCAGGTGTTTAGAACTTATCTGGTGTCCTCGTCAGTCAACCATCACCATTCACCTGCGAGCGGACACTTAACCGACAATTCGACCGTCGTTGCTAACTACGTCCACTGTGTGCTCCGCAGCAAGGTGAGAACTGGGACAGTGACTTGTACGTGAATTAGTTTATAGTGAATGTAGACTTGCACGGCATCTACCGTACTCTCTCCTCCCCTACCTGAACCCGGTGTCAAGACAGAGTCAAGAAGACCGGAGGCGGAGCGGGGCGCGGGTGGATAGCACGGTCGAGCCCTCACCTTGGCGCTCCACCCCAGACCTTCTGGTCCACACAGTTAATGACCAGGTTTTTGACCAACAACAGCAACAAAAATGAGGGGACTGCCGCAGGGGTCTCAATGTGCGCCACCTCTGTCGGTAACCGGGTCTTCCACCACACCCCGGGATGCTGGCATTTGTTATGGCACGCAATCCGATAACGCCCGCCAGAATCCGTCATGGCCTCGTGCTGGCCCAGCTCATCTACCTCGTGGACCGTTTTGTGGGACATCCATATACACATGAGGCAGTACTGACAGTTAGAACCAAAGTATCCAGTCGGTTTATGGCCGTACGATTCGGTTATAGCAGGAAGCACACTGACAAAGAGAGGAATTCCTTCTAACTGTCTTATGGTTCAACGGAACCTTCGGGGGAATCCTATTAGTCTGTAACTTTGGCGGCGCCCTGTCGATGATATATTTATTTTCGTCAGTATTATAAATTATGAACGCTTCATAATAATCTCCATTCAAAATGCCCAAAAAAATTAATCCACGCATTACAGGAGGGTCGTGCGCTCGGCACCCGTCCCTGGGTGTCCTCATACATCCATGAGTGTAACCATTCAGACACGCAAATTGAGATATGTCAACACATAATTCATTAGAAACAAGACACACCGTTGCTATGACAAAAGTCATTGATCAGAAATAAAAAGCCTTTTTGGATTTTCGCCTTAAAACTAGTACCGTCTTAACCATGCGCATCGGTGCATGTGGCGCTAGGAGTCCTAAGGAAAGTGAATTTCAATCGCTACCGTAAAAATATATATCTGACGTCAAAACATGCGTCGACAGCAGAATTTAACCGAACCAACAAATTTAGCGACAGCTTATCACGTGCAAATCATTGATGCCTAACAAAGGTAACGAGTATGAATCAGTCAGCAGTTTGAATTTGTACAGAAAAATCAATACAAAACAGAAAGGTCATTGGTTAGTGCACACAGGCTAATCAATGAAAGTTTTAGTATAAAATTGTAAAACAGTGATCCCCCGCTATATGGCGCTTCGACTTTCTCGGCTTCACTCTCTCGCGAATTGTAGGCAGGTCTTAGTTCTGCAGCCCCTCCTGAGAGATATGATCCAGTTAGTTTACTAGAACAATGTTAATTAACAAACTCAACTTAGGCACTCGCTGGATTATGAAGGGAAAGACAGCGCAGCCAGAACTCGAAGCACGCGCAGGGAGGCGAGTAAAGATGGTGTGTACACGACAGTTCGACCGTCTGTTCAGACGATATCCACTGTGTGCTACAGGGTAAGGTGAAACAGACACGGTGACTAGAGCGTGGATTGATTTATAGTAAATGTAGACTTACAGTGAGTGACCTATCTCATGAAATGTTGGCTGAAATTCTGAAATGCGTTTTCGATTAGGAAGGATTACTTGGTCGCGGTTGTAATACTGACTATCTTGCGGCATACTCTTATAACATTTCAGACTTGGCAGGATGTCGGCTTTTAAATGCACTTCTTTTCAATCTCCTGTAGAAAGCGTGCTCGGTAAAAAACGACAACTTATGTAGCATGCATTTTTGCCATTGATTTTCGATGGTCTTGCATATTCAAATATATTTTATAGAAACCATAAGTAAAAATTGCCTTCTTTTAGTCAGTCAATAGAAAATCACGTCTTCTGTATATTTTATACTTAAGGAAGAAGTATAATTAGGTTTTAAAAAAGTTTTCTACTTGCCGAATAATTTGGAGCCTGATCATTCGCTGCATTAGCGCTTAGTGATTTCACTCTACGAGGTGCATGCGTTCCGCGTAAAGAAAATCCCATATTTTTCTAGGTCATTAAAGAGATATCATACGGGGTCCATAAAATTTTGTACTGGATGCGGACCATGTTGTAAATTTCATGAGGAGCAGGGGTAAACGGCCAGGTACGATGCTATGTGAATGGACATATCGCGGTCTTAAAAAGTCTCATAATTAGAAACTTTTTTAAAACTTAATTATACTTCTTCCTTAAGTACAAAATATAAAGAATACGTGATTCTCTATTGATTTCCTAAAAGAAGGCATATTTTTGTTTATGGTTTCTATAAAATATATTTGAATTTCCAAGACCATCGAAAATCAATGGGAAAAATGCATGCTCTTAAGTAGTCATTTTTTTTACCGAGCACGCTTTCTACAGGAGATTGAAAAGAAGTGCATTTAAAAGCCGACATCCTGCCGGGTCCGAAATGTTATAAGAGTATGCCACAAGATAAGAAGTACTACAACCGCGACCAAGTAATCCTTCCTAATCGAAAACGCATTTTAGAATTTCAGCCAACATTTCATGAGATGGGTTACTTACTGTACGCAGCATCCACAGCACTCTCTCCTGCCACACCGGGACCCGGTGTCAAGACAGAGTCAAGCAGACCGTAGACGAGGGAGGGCGCAGGTGGCTGGCACGGCCGGATCCGCACCTAGACGTGCCACCACACCCCCTGGTCCACAACATACACTTGGCCGGGATTTTTTGCCATCACCCCAACGGGGGTTAGAAGGACGAGGATGATGACTGGGCAGTCATGCCCACCACGTGTATGCCTAGCGGGAGCGCAAGTGCATCTACCGGCAGGGAACTAGGTGTCAGGAAACTGCCAGCGTACACCAGGCTTCGAGGGACACGGTTTGCTGATACTGACATAACAGACACTTACAGACCTTTTGACGACGTGTACACACTTCCCCCGAAACAGCCACTCGGTTGATTGAGAGGGTAAGGAGGGCGCAATCACAACAGGAAGGCCACGGAAGGAACCGCATGACAACTCGCAGTGCATGGCCACTATAATGGAACTGATGGAGCCCCACACCGTTCGAACAGTTCCATTAGCAAATCTACCTGGCAACTCGCTGGATTAGGATAATAAAGAGGGCGCAAGCAGGGCTCGAAGCACACGCAGGGATGCATGTGTGAACTGGTACCTTACGTAACCGAGGGTGGCTTATAAGCACTCCACCCCCGTGACATAGTCACTCGTTGGATTAAAATTGTAGGGAAGGTGCAAATATATGATATTTGTAAAGTCGGCGTACTCGAATCTACTTAACCTGTTCTAGTAGATAACCGTATGGGGTCGCAGGAACAAATCTCGCGGGTTTAAGATGCAAGCATAACTGAATACAAATCACGGATTTTTCGCTGCTTCGCGGATTTCTGCGAGCAATGGGCTCTTGTATTTCTGTCAGTTGAGTTGTTCAGCTGCTCTCGCACAGGGGACGCTACTGGCCATATTTTTTGTTGAAATATGGATTATTGCAATGCGTTTAAAACTGAAGATGGGAAAGTTAATACACAGAGGGGGTGTGTAAGTCAAAGAGTTGAGATGTACCAGGGCAAGCTGAGGCTGAATACGTAGTCCAGCTATTTGTATAGGCCAGGTTTCTCCTGCCGTAAGCAGACTGCCTCCAGGTAACGTAACGTCCAAGTTTTACATGATCCAACAAGCACGCGGATGGATAATTTGGGGTAATGTGTGGTTAATTAGCCCCGCCTAAAGGACACAATACTGTTGGAGTTAGGGTTAGGGACTAGAGTAAGGAGTCAGAATTAAGGTTAGGGTTAGGGGTTGGGAAAACTACAGTAGATGGGCTAACTCATGAAATGTCAATCGAAATTCCGAAATGCGTTTTCGCCTCGAAAATAATAATTAAGAAGTGTTGTAAGACTATCCATCCAGCAGTAAAATTCTGTAATATTTCATTTACCTCAGGATGACAGCTTTTGAAGGAACTTTTTTGCGGCTGCACGCAAAAATGACACTGTAAAAAATGCCTACCTAACGAGCATGCACTTTTTCATTGATTTTCAATGTCCTTCAAAATTAAATTATATTTCGTGGAAATATTCATTCTTTTGCTCATGCGGTAGAAAATGACGTCTTCCAGTTTTATGCTCGAGGGAAGGGTATAATTCGGTTTTCAAAAACTTTTCAAATTCTCGAACAATTTTGAACCGGACCTGGCGTTACACTTGAATTTGGGGTTTCCAAACAACAAGCCGTATCTTTTCCGCGTACGCAAAACCGTGCATTTCTCTAAGGTATTCAGAGGAGATCATATGTGGTTCATAGAATTTAGCAGCGGATTTGAGCCATATTGTTGACTTTACAAATCAAATTGGTAAATGCAGAGACATGACGTTTTGTGTACGACCATTTTTCGTCATTAAAAATTGCACAATTATAAACTTTTTAAAACTGAATTATACCTTCGTTCGATTATAAAATTGAAAGAAGACGTAAAATTCCACCGAATGAGCAGGAAAAAGAATAATTTTATGCATGTATTCAAGGAAATAATTGAAGTTTAAAGGGCATCGAAAATCAACGAGAAAAATATATGCCACTTATTTTGTCACTTTTTGCAAATTAGAGTTGCTACTTGTAGCCGCAAAGAAGTTCGTTCGAAAGCCGGCATCCTGAAATAATTGAATTTTTGTAGACTTATGCTGCATAATGATTAGTTTCACAACGCTACCTAATTAGTCTTTTCGAAACAAAAACGTTTGGCATTTCATGAGTTGGCTCACCTACTGCATGAATTCGAAGGAAATAAGTCTTCTGGAAAAGATAACACAATTTATTTTGCTAATTGTCGACTTTGGTTCCCCAAGTCGTCTTTAGAAGTGAAGCAACCGCGAAAAACAGTTTAAGTTTAAGCAAGCTTATGATCGATATTGTTCTGTCACTCCTGCAAGTCAGCCTTTACTCTGGGCTGGTATTATGTTCTGATCAGCTAACGCATTTTTCACTTTTCCTTGAAGTTGTTGTGTACAACATCCAGTTCGATGTGTCGAATAATGCACGGATTACCGGAATAAATGGCCTTTAAAACTTTTAAACCTTTCTTAGATGAGCAGACATCTATAATGAGAGTCTTGTTCCAGTCTCTAGCGTATACATGGTAACCTGAGACAAGTGGTCACGTCTTTTTACTGCCAGCTGATGCTCGTGTATACGTGTAGAAGCAGATTTCCCAGTCTGACCACAGTAAACCGCATTACACGTGCCGCATGGTATTTTATAAACGGCTTCTCTTTTATCTAGATAGCCAACCCTATTGTTAGATTGTAAAGCTGTAGTCGTCGGTCTGTGCCCCATACGTATGTGGTGCTTCTTTGGGTGTTTTTCAACTAATTCGGATACACTTATATTGCACGGAAGTGTTTGCCGATTTTTGGTTTGAACGCCTGATCGGAACAATCTAGTTCCTCGGCTTTTTCTTTTGACTCCTGTTGTCTCATACATCGGTTTACAAAATCTTTAAGATACCCGTTTTGGGAAAACAGTTTGCACAAATAATCCCGTTCTGTTTGGAAGATTCCATTGTCAGAGCAGTGAGTTTTTGCTCGGTTAAGGAGACTATCCACGGCAATCCGTTGGTGGGAGATCAGCAGATTGCTCTCCTTATGTAAAAGAATTTTCGCGTAGGTTTTCTTGCCATAAACTGATGTGTGAAATGTCCCCTCAGTCTTTCTCTGTACCTGGACATCACGAAATGGGAGTTTGCGTCAGTTTCTTTCTTGAGTGTGAATGTGATCCCTGGAAGCGTTGACTTGATAATGCTGTGGAGCATCCCCAGTTGATCTCTTCTAATAATGACAAAGGTGTCATCAGTATAACCTTCCCATCGTGACTTCCGCTAGAAAACCAGAGATGGATGATCCCATATAGGCTCCCTCCAGCTGTGGGTAGTATTCCTGTGTAGAGCTCCAAGAATTCTAACAAAACAGATGCAGGAATATCCGTGTCGTGAGACTGGAGATGTTTTTCTACGCATTTTCTAGCTAAATTCATTTGTATGGATGTAAACAGAGAGGCGACATCCAAGGATATCCTTTTTCCTCTCTTGCAATTATCAATCCTTGTAATTTGTCCAGAAACTCTAAAGAATTATTGACCGACGTTTCACAATCCTTTGTCAACGGATGGAGTTTATGGAATAGCCATTTAGAAATCTTGTAATTAGGTGCACCGATTAACGATACTGGAATTCAGACTATGGGTTTTGTACAAAAACAATCAACTACCTAACCTTTCTAACAAAGTATTCTACAGTCGGAAGATGTCTGAGCCAATACGGTTCAACTGCATCATGTCAAACCTTGGGGGATTGGCTTTGCCCATTTGAACTTGTCCTTAAGGTCGGACGGGTAACTTGACCCAGATGTGAGTAAACTCATTTCTCCCTCTGGGGCCTCGCGGTTCACGTGGCTACAGCGTTGGCTGTACTAAAACCTTCCCCTTGCTGTAGTGAGTTCGAATCCCACGGAGGCGCCGAATTTTCCTCAGTTGGGTCAATATGAATTATTCAAAATCTGCCAAAACACCTATGGATTTTTTATGTGACATCTAAATCGATATGCGTATGTGAGAAGTGGAAGGCTCTTCAAAATAATAAGTTTGTATTCGTAAATTTGGGAGCTGCTGACAACAACCCGCCCTCCTCTTCCACATCCCACACATAGAAGGCCGTAGTAGCAGGGAGAACGACCACTTGAAAAAGTCAATTTTCCAATGAAGACCCTACTCGACAGTGAAGAATTCCATGCTCTCGACGGTAGACGTAAGTGAGAAAATTAGTCAGAACGGACTCCGACACAGCCAGGGCTCCCTCAATCTCAATTCGATGGACCAACGGAACCGAGACAGAAGTCCACCGCCAGGTGGTTATGTCGTCCTCGCGTTGGCTCTCACCAGTCGGTTCCAGTCGCTCCACCGTGTTTACAGGCACTTGATGGCTGCCTGAAAAGAGCAAGGCAAAAAATCACGTGAGAAACTGCGCCGATATAGCAATTTTGCTAATAGTGTGTTCACATTTGGACGCACACAGACTGAACGCAGATCCAGACAGGGAAGGGTCATCCGTCCGCCAGCTGTAGACAATCGTCTAGACTCGCCTTTGAGCTATCTAGAGAGGATGATTTGCGCTATCGGAGCGCAAAGATGATGGTTAGGGTGGGCACGACATTGAGTATTATTCACACACGCGACCGGCAAATACGTAGTTCCAATGGGTGGAAGGTTTGTTATTACCAGTAGATGGCAAGTTGAAGGAAAGAAAAAAAATCAACACAGTCAAGTGGTAAGGAGGTTTTTGTTGTGATTGCCAGAATCTTGTTTTTTAGTGCTTCCCGGACTATCCACGTTATAAGGGCCTATACATCATCAGAGGACTCAGCATAACGCTAGTCTGTTAACATAGTCGACCGAAAAACTCAGGATTTTTGAGTGGAGGCGAACTCTGAATGGTTTTAGAATTCCAATTCGGCCGGGTATGCCTAACGGACGGTGGGGACGAAAATAGATTGTGCTTCTTAAGTGAAACGCCGCTAATAAAACCCAGCAGAATCATCGTCTAATTAGCTAATGTCCAAGCTTTAGGAGTTAAGGGAAAGTCCACCAAATACACCAAGTGGCGTTTTCAGATGAAAAGACGCAATACGAATCAAATGCCCGACCTCATCGGTGATTATGGAAACTGGTCAATCGTGTACATACTATTTCCGCGGACTTTGATGAACTTTGATAGATTGCTTGCTTCAGTCTTGGCAGACAGGACGAGTTTGACTAAATACTATCCAAACACATTGTTTTTCGACCTGCTGCTCAGTTATCTTCCTGTGGCGGGTGTCCAAATGACGTTTTTTTCGGAGTCTTGGCAGTTTGCAGGAAGTGGATTCATATGTGGCAATCTGATCTCGCGATCGTCATCGAAGCCGCACGTCCATGCGCCTTCAGTTCGTCTAACGCCCCCACAGTTCGCGCATTAATTTCCTCGGAAATTAAACAAGGTAAGGTGAAACTGAAGGTCATATGCCGGAAAACTCACGGGAAAGGCTGGGAGACCCACTGATGAGCCAAACCCCTCGCAACTGTGTCAAACAATGACACAAGATCGGCGAAACACGCGTGTCTGGGTTTTTAGCTAGTGCGGGTGTTGTCAGTATGTCAAACAATTACAACACGTCCCCTGTCAGTCGACTACGAGAGTCGCATGTGACTGGGCCCCAGCCTGACGAAAGCTCGAGGACGATCGACGCAGCGTCTTTCACTGATTGGCTGCAGGCAGACAAAGCCCAGGCGCATGTACGCGCGTCGTGCAGGAACTTTCACTCCCTGGGTGAGCCAACTTGCTGACATTGCCCACTGACCCGCCTGTACGTTCTCTTACCTCAGTAAAGGTTTTCTACCAACTCTGCAGTCAGCCCATGAATTACCTTCCAAAAAGTGCACTTTTCATGCCTAAGAACGAGCATACCACGGAAATGCGATTTTTTCCTTTTCCTGTGAGCTTAAGAACCCCAAACTCCATCCCCTTAAAAGGTCAGTATAAGCGCCATTCCCATGTTACAGACGGCCTTGCGTCATAGTTCAGAGGGGGTGGAACTATCTTCCAACACAGGGGGTGTTTTAATGCATTAAAATCAGCATGAGAGGCGAATACGACTTTTTTCCCACATATCTAAGAACACCACACGTTCTCGCCTAAAAGACCTCTATCACCACCATTTGCCTTTTATAGGTGACCTTGCATCGTAGTTCAAGGAGAGGGGGGAAGCGGGGATACGCATATCCGTTTCTGAACCTCGGTTCTTCTGGCTTCATTCAGCCAAAAGGTGGAGGCGAAAATTGTGTGTCATACGTCACGGATTTAAGTTTTTGCATAGGGTCACATTAAAATCTGCTCAGGCGTTTAAAACGGGCCCTAATTAAACTCCAGACTGCTGATCACGCCAAACAGTGTGCGGCGAGAAAATAAAAGGGTGTTCGGCGAAGTAAAAATGGCAGAAACCCTTTTTTCGCCTTTTATTGGGTAGTCACGCGCAAATAGCGGAGCTCTTTACGTCATCCGGCGGGACCGAGTAGGCAGATGAAGGTGAGCCCTGAAGCTTCACATGAGTGGTGGCAATCTAAAAAAAACTGCTGACATTTTCGATCTTGTCACAAGCCGAACTTTGGCAGATCAAATGAAGGAAAATGACACAAAATGCCTAGTGGTTGTCCTTGCTTGGCAGACTTAAAAACGCTACAAGAGCAAAAGACAGTCTGGTGTGAGAAGTTGAGTGAAGTGTGAATGGCGTATGTTTCTACAGGGCGCACTGGTTCCGTTGTGACGCCCCACGAACTGGTGAGGATTGTTTGAATGAAGTGACACATTCGCGCGGATATGGGATGGTGGTGGTAGTGGTAAACCACGTGTCCGCGAAAAAGAACGCGTGTCCTTTCCTATCTACCACCGACCTCCATCCTGCAACTCTCTCCTATGCCTACGTCGATACCTACAACGGCCCTCCCCCACAGTTGCCCACAGCGCTCCGTTCTCCACCGATTGTTTACCTGGTACGTCAGCGTCACCTCTCCGTCCAGACATGTCATCCCCTGCTGTAAATCATTTCTTATTGTACTATTGGCTGCTACTATATATGCAAAATTGTTGCCTGTTTATATCATATATATACGGTAAAGGTATTATACCGTACTCCCGACACGGATACTCGCTAAAAGCCCAGACACGTGTTTCGCCGATATTCTGCCGCTGCGTGAAACAACTGCGAAGGATTCGGCTCTTCAGTGGGACCCCCAGCGTTCTCTATGCGGTTTCTGGTATATGAACTCCAGAGAATAATCAAGTGAATAATTTCAGAAATTACTCAGTGCAGGACTTGCAGTTAAATCTCCGGGACATGACTTTTTAGGGTCAGAACCAAAATTTCAATGAACATTCGAGTCGAAGAAAATCAACTACTGTGGAATAACCACGTAATGCCCATTCTACAAACAAGTAGTACTACGACTAGTACGAAATCCATATGGTAAAGGTATTATACCGTACTCCCGACGTAGATACTTGCTAAAAGCCCAGACACGTGTTTCGCCGATATTCTGCCGCTGCGTGACACAGCTGCGAGGGCTTCGGCTCTTCAGTGGGACCCCCAGCGTTCTCTAGCGATTTCTGGTATATGAACTCCAGAGAATAATCAAGCGAATAATTTCAGAAATGAATCAGTGCAGGACATGGAGTTAAATCTCCGGAACATGACTTTTTAGGGTCATGTCCCGGAGATTCAACTGCAAGTCCTGCACTGAGTAATTTCTGAAACTATTCACTTGATATATATATATATATATATATATATTGAAAAAACAGGCATCCCAAGAAATATAATTAGGTGAAGTTCTTTGGGAAACAGCAAAATTTTATTGTGAATTTTCGAGACTGGTTCCCAGCTCGTCTTCAGACAACGGGTGTGCAAAAGCAATTAACTTTTAGGCTGAGTCTGGCAAAAGGATTCCATGATTGGTTAAGGTCCTCATCTCGGGATTGGTTGACTCAGTTTGAATCTTTCCTTAACGATTTTGTATGTGGCATCTAAATCGATATGCCGGTTGATGCATGTCTTATCTGGGGGCATTGCCTCCAGGAATTCGCGGCCTTTCCTTGTTTGGCAGGCGCCAACAATGCGAGTGTTTTCCCATGCGAATTTATGCCCCGTGTCCAGTGTGTACATGGCCACCTGGGATAGACGGTCGCGTGTCTTCACCGCTGATGCTCATGTAGACGGGTTGAGACAGATTTCCCAGTTTGGCCACAATAAACGCCATCACAACTAGAACATGGGATTTTGTAGACAACACCTTTTCTTTCGAGGTAGCCGACCCTGTCCTTAGGGTGTACAAGCTGTGTGCGTAAGGTAGTTGCCGGCTGGTGTGCTACTTGTATCTGGTACTTTTTCAATTGTCTTTCGACAAGTTCAAATACATTTTTGACGTATGGGAGAATTCGCCATGTAGTTGGTTTTGGTGCTTGAGCGGCCGTAGTATTGGAAATACCTTTTCCCTTGAGTTGCTGGTGCCTCATGCATTACCGACAAAGACATGGTAGACTGGAATGGCCCTCTATCATTGCATATTCCAGATCGAAACCGACAGGGCAATGGGCTCGTGGCTCAGTGGTTAGAGGCGTGGGCCTCTAGCTAACAGATCGCGAGTTCGAGCCTCGGACGTTCCACACTTCGGGGTTGGGCATGACTGGCTGACGACGGCTAGTAAGAAAGGAATGACCATTCCAGTCTCCTTTGTCTTTGTCGGCAATGCCATTCTGCCTATATCATGCGCTGCAGTGCGGCTACTGGTTGGGCTCGAGAGAGAGAGCCCGTATGGCACAAAGGAACGAGTGAGTTCCATAAGAACGATCGGTGAGCGTCCCCTACCATTTTATATATACATAGATGAAAATCGAAAACTCGTCGGAGAAAATAAAGTTTTACTGGAGTACAAATCGATTTTTTTCGACGGGCCTTATATATTCACCATACTATCTCGGAATGCACACTACCTCAACCATTCATATATATATATATATATGGTTATCAAATTCTTCTTCTCGCTCATAGTGTCTCACGACTCTTTTCAGCTCGTTCTGTGTCCGGAGTTATTCCCATTGCTTCACGTCGTCTCGCGTGTGCTGCCCTCAACGTCTTCGGCAACTACACTATTTTAACGATTGTTTCCCCAAAAATCAGCTTCTAACAAAGCCTAAATGTACTGATCTAACTAAAGGTGCCCTCAAAATACGCGACACAAACACCAGCATAGACGGTGGTGACGTAAGAGGTAAGGAAAGTAGGCAAAGATTGAAGGTCAACGTGGTGTCCATATATAAAGGTTTAAGAAGAGTCACACTTGCTACCCCTTACTTACCAGCACATGGACTAAACACCGGCGGTACTTGAACTACAGTAGGTGGGCTAACTCATGAAATGTCAACCAAAATTCTGAAATGCGTTTTCGTTCCGAAAAGATTAATTAAGTAGGGTTGTAAAACCAGTCATCGTACAGCATAATTCTATAATAATTCAGTTACCTCAGGATGGCGGCTTTCGAACGAACTTTCTTTCGGCTGCATGTAGGAACTACACTCTGTTAAAAACGACTATTTAAGTAACATGACTTTTTCTCATTGATTCTCGATGACCTTAAAAATTCAATTATATTTCAGGGGAAACATGCAAACAGTAGTCTTCTTTTGCTCATTCGGTAGAAAATTACGTCTTCTAATTTTATACTCGAAGGAGAGACGTAATTCGGTTCTAAACAAGTTTCTAATTGTGCGACTTTTTAATACCGTGGAATGGCCATTCATAAGATGTCATGTCTCTGCATTTACCAACGTGGCTTGTAAAGCTAACACTATGGGTCAAATCCGTGGAGAAATGTGTGGTTTTCCGTATGCGGAAAAAATACGGCTCGTAGTTTGGAAACCCTGAATTCAAGTGTTATAGTAGAGCAGGCTCAAGATTATTCGGGAATTGGAAAACTTTTTGAAAACCGAATTATACACTTCCATCGACTATAAGATTGGAAGAAGACGTAATTTCCTACCTAATATGCAAATGAATGAATAGTTTTATGCATGTTTTCCATGAAATATAATTGGAATTTTAGGGACATTGAAAAGTAATGGCATTTGTTATGGGTGTTCAGCTCAGCAACGCGTGTCGTACTCTGATCTGTCGCCATGCTGATCCAACGTTACTTCTGCGTTGCCCGTTTTAAGGGACACATGTTTGCCTACACGGGGGCATGGTTCACATGCAGTTGATGAGGAACCGAGCACTTTTAAAAGCCATTACTGTGTGAAATCGGACGCTTGTCATTTCGACATGCAAGTCTGAGGCTTCACTTTTCTATTCGGAGGGCACGCGTGAAGGTTGTATGGTGTCCGCATTTTTCCCTGAATGCGAATAGCAGTGCGTCGGGCAACCAAAAAGATTGCACCCCAGAAGTAGATGAAACAGAAGCAGTATAGCCAGTTTACCATGTGTTTTCATGTCAGTTTTAGGTAGTTGTGCTTCGAATGCGTCAACAGTACAAGACATAGCCATATCAGTGGTGCGCCCCTCATCTGTTCGCATTGCAGAACAGAATGCGGACGATGCTGTTTTGTCTTAGGGCCGAGAGTTTGTAGCTCACGTAGTCGATTGTAACTCAGCTGGCAATCAATAGCGTCAACACAACACGGAATACCTGCTATTTCTGCCTGCAATTAGGACAGTTGGGTGCATGGCATTTCAATGGGACATGAGGTAGCGGTGCGGTAGTGAGCTAATTGCCGCGTGATCAGCCGACTAATGTATGCCAGCAAGTCCCAGCGTCCTCGTCATTGTAGGCTAAACGAAAAGATAAATACACTATCTACTCTGTGGCTGTCAGTAGGCAAATTAGAGGAGTAAACATTTCGCATATGGGTGAGCAGAGTTGACCGGTCGGCATGACGGTTCACGCATTCACGAGAAGAGCGGAATCATGCAGTTTTATCAACCGTGTAATATTATGTAATTATTTAAACATCGATATTTGTTTTTACCAGACAACATTCCAAATATAATCACGCGTGCTCAGAAAGTACAGCAGACTTGATTGCATGGGTTACGTTTTGGGACATGGTGAGCTGTTTATGCAGCCTATAGTATATTAGCCATCATCTGCTATAGCTTACAAACGGATTTTCAAAAAATTAAGAAATATCTCTGACTGGCCGAAGGACAGAACCATTAACAGTTGTCCAGAAATCTTATTAGTTTGCGCTTTATGCTTCACAGTTTGGGTCTATTGAATCATATCAGCGTTTCGGAGCAGTCCTGCCATGTCGATTTCAGGAGATTCGACTAAAGAGAGAGACGACACACCGCCTATCCCCGTCTTTCAGAGGCTAGCTAAACCGCCTCTCTGCCGATTTAAAACTGTTGGATTGCATTTGCAAGTAATATACTGAACTTTCAGAACTTTTCATCGTAGGCTTTTGCGCGACGAATCTTTCCTGTTATGAACAGTTAACTTTCTTCAAAACAGATGCTTCGAACTGAACTTCTTTGTGCCCTAACACACGGACAAATTCTGTCCACCCTCTAACACGTAGTGTTGCAGCGACGCGTCGCAAAAAACGCCCCACCAACACCTCGTTTCATTGTTCCAAGCCTAAAAGCTCGATCACAGGTCCTTCCCCTCAACCCTCCTCAACCCAAAGCTAATCCGTTTTCATTGGTAACGTACATTACTGTTCCGATCTGGTGATGAATAACCAAAAAAGTGCATTTTCTGACCTTGATCTCGTGCAGCCCTTTTGATCTCGTGGGCATTTCTGACCGACCAAGCGGTTTAAAATACGATAGAATCCAAAAGGGCCAAAAGTCGCGTAATTTACACACAAAACCGTCTAGAGTTGTAGCGTGACTTTAGTACAGTCAATTTTGCAAGCGGTTCTCATGTCATTTTAACTGTCGCGAACGACGATTCCCTTCATATGCCCCATGGCGTAGTGAACGCAGGATTGTGACTTACGTGTGACCATGACATTGATTACCTTCTAAATCCATAAGAGGAGTGGAGCTGGTGTTCTTTTGGCCGTGCATATGCTTCCTGTTAGTTGCATCCATCTTTTATATGTCGTTTAGAACACCCGGTTCAATGGAAAGCAAGGCAATCCGCACTTCTGAGGCCAATCATCCTCTGCGGACGCGACTCTGAGCCCGAATGACGGTGGAGGAGTTTGAAATCCTGTCTAATTCCCTTCCACTTTCGAATGCACCATCGGCGCAAAGGGAGTGGACAACAGTGTCTTTCAGAAGGGTTTCAAGATGGCGAATATGGTAAAACAGATCAAAAATTGCTCTTCGTGACAGTTTTGTGACCTTTCGGAAGAACGACTCTGCAATAAAGATCCATAATGCTACCTTAGAGAATTTTGAACACTTGTCAACACAACAGGCACTTTCAAAGAGGCACGTTTTCCAGCGGAGCTCCAGTGCGTAGGCGCTACCATCGCCAAAATCACAAGAGCTCAATGCCCTATAAGTACATACAGCAGATGTGGTAACTGGTGAAATGTCAACCAAAATTTCGAAATGCGTTCTCGTTTCGAAAAGATAAATTAAGTAGTGTTGTCAAATTAATCATGATGCAGCATAAATCTATAATTATCCAGTTACCACAGGGTGTCGGCTTTCGAAAGAACTTATTTTCGGCTGCATGCAAGATCTCTATTCTGCAAAAAATGACTATTTAAGTGGTGTGCAATTTTCTCATTGATTTTCGAGGCCTTTGAAAATTCAATTATATTTCATGGAAACATGCATAAAAATATTCATTCTTTTAATTATTCGGTAGAAAATCACGTCTTCTTCCAATTTCATACTCAATAGAAGAGTATAATTCCGTTTTAAAAAAGTTTCTAATTGTGAGATGGCCGTTCATGAAACGTCATGTATCTGCATTTACGAATGTGGCTTGTAAAGTTTACAATATTGCTCAAATCCACTGCTTAATTTTATGAACCTCATATGTTCTCCTGTTAACACCGTAAAGAACTGCATGGTTTTCCGTACACGGAAAATATACAGCTTGTAGTTTTGAAACCCTGAATGCAAGTGTAACAGCAGGTTGGGTTCAAAATTATTCGGGAATTAGAAACGTTTTTTAAAACCGAATTATACTCTTCTTTTGATTATGAAATTGGAAGAAGACGTGATTTTCTACCGAATAAGTAAAAGAATGAATATTTTTGTGCATGTTTTTCATGAAATATAATTGAATTTTGAAGGACATCAAAAATCAATGAGAAATTTGCATACTACTAAAGTAGTCATTTTTTGCAGAGTAGGGTTCTTGCATGCAACCGAAAATAAGTTCTTTCGAAAGCCGACACCCTGAGGTAACTGGATCATTATAGATTTATGCTGCATCATGATTAGTTTTACAACACTACTTAATTTATCTTTTCGAAACGGGAACGCATTTCTAAATTCTGGTTGACATTTCATGAGTTAGCACATCTACTGTACCTGTGATAATCACGCTGAGTTTTAACATCGTTTCACGTGCACATTAAAGTTTTCACCGCGTTGAAGGTTTGTGGTTAGTACCCTACGTCCAGTTCAAACGTAATGACAGAGAAAATAGGAGAAGTGAGTGATTTTTCAGGGAAGGATTGGTGGAAAGCCTAGGGGAATACAAATGCGTGCTGTCACCTGCCTAAGGCCACGGGACATGCTGTCATTTCGACTATGCCTCTATAACGTTGATACTATCTATGTCACAGGCGAAAGGGCTAAAATCGTACCCTTTTGCGTAGTTATAGACAAAATAATGGTGAAACCCATGGCAGCTTTCCGAAATACCTTACTGCAGGATAATCCTTCACCGCATTCCGCGCTCCAGGCAGTAGTTATCCGTCATACTTCCATTGGATCACACAAGCTTCAAACACAAAGTCTGAACGACATTAAATGAGGTCATGATCACGGCTTCTTGCATCCAAATCTTTGCGTTTGACCCGCGGCGAGTTAGGAAGGTTTTTCGACGGGAACACGGTCTTGATAGTGGTCTGCCGAAGGGGATATTTGACTGAATAATCTTAATAAGCGGACAATAAAATACCCGAAGGTTTTCGCAGGAATGCCGCTTCGCATCCGGCGACTTCTTTGAGCTGGCCACCACCACCCGCTCGAGAGGACATCCTATCGAACTACGTGCGACTGGGGCAAGACTGGACCCAAAGCGGTTTTTCTTTCCCAACAAAGTGATTAAGGCATAGAATGCTCTGCCTATGGAGGTCGTCATGTCCCCATCCGTAGACACATTTAAGAGAAATCTTTATTAGTAGAGGGATGCGTGGCGACACGCCATTAGAAACGAACACTTCTCCCCTGATATAACCGCCTCCGTTCATAGACATACTACTTTTAGTGGTTCAGTAAAAATATTTTATAACTGTTACGTTGAATGCGCCACTTGATGGAAGCATGTGATCCAATGTCCGAACCGGACACGGTCACTAGTAGGGGAGATTGACAAGAGTCTATTGCATAACCCTAGCAAGCAGACTTCTGACAGCCAACTCAACGAGGGGTCAGAAAGTACGTATAGCAGCTCAAGATATGCGTGAGGCGACATGAGGGATGCATTAATAGGGAAACCGGAAGTCTGTTTCAGAATACTGAGAATACTCGAATAATGCCATTGAGGAAATCGAGGCCGTTTCTGGTCTATTCACTGTCGTCAGTCAGCCACGGCCGAAACCCCGGGTCGGCAGGACTCCAGGATCCAAAACAAGGCCGGATCCCCTGTATTCCAGCCCATAATTGGAATAGACTTTAGATCCACACCTCCACGCGAGTCTAAATGTTTCTGCTAGCAGCTAACAAGATGTGGTTCTTACAGTAGAGGTTTCGATTCAAATGTTCGACTGTCGACTGATAGGGACATGGCTGACGAGGGTGAATGTGCTGGAAACTGCTGCACCGTTTCTTTCGCCTTTGTCGCTGACACATTCCGATAACCGGATAGTCGTCGCTATGCAACGGCCATTAAACCAGCGACGCAGGGAACAAAGGAGTCGCACGTATATCACCCCTGCAAATGTGATGGATCGGTGAATAGCACTCTGAGTTGGCGTTGGCAGGAGCAGAGGTTAAACTCTTGCTCCGAGAAGGCGGTGCGAGACAGCGAAACTGCTTGGGGGTGTTTTCTGACCAATAAGGTGGAAGTTTATACCGGGGCAGAGGGAAAAACAGCGCAGTTCCATATGATCATATCACATAGTATCCTTTGAAATAAGGAAAAGCTGACTGACGTTTGCCAAGTAACAAGCTAGCCACCGAAGACCTGCTTCATGTATTACATAAAAAAACCTGCTGAACAAAGCATACTACAGAAATTACAATGCATGACCAGAATTATGATATGTTAATCGAAATTCTGAAGCGTGTTTTCGATTAAGAAGGATTAACTAAGCGGACTTGTAACATCGATTATCGTACAGATTTGAATGCGTTTTGTTCCGGCAGCCAGAAAAAAAACTACACAGCAGAATAGCCACTTGAGTAGCATGGATTTGTACATTGAACCTCGGTGTATTATAGAAAAATAAACATATGAATTTTTGCTTGTGTCCATATAACAGCAAATTAGCCCTCTTCCAATTATGCTACTAGAAAACAGGTGGCTTTAAATTTTTTCAGAAACTTTTTTAAATCCTCGAATTATTTTAAACCCGATCCGCCATTGCATTTGCATTTAGGGCTTACGATCTTCAAGTTGTATACTTTATACGCAGTGGACCTCGTACGCAGCATTAATAGAGACAGATACGACGTCATCTGAATTGACATGTTACTGTCTTGAAGAATTCCTGATCACAAGTTTTAAACCACAAGACACCCTTTCTTCGAGGTAAAAACTGAAGGTGCAGCTGGCTACCAGATGAGTACAAGAGCGAAGGTGTTTGTGCACATCCTCAATAAAATATTTTGGACGTAATGCTGACATCGAAGAGCAGTGAGGGAATGCATAGAACGTGAGTAGTCCTCTTTACCGACGGCCGGAAAGAGGCTCATTAAAAAGCGGTCATCGTCGCGTAAATGAAATAGCATGGGATTATACTGTACAATGATTAATAGTACAACCCACTTAAGCAACCCTTCCTAGTCGAAAAACTTTTGAATTCATAAGGCCATCGAAAATCAGTAAGAAAAATCATGCTACTTAAATGGTCACTTCTTGCTGAGTGTGCTTTGTGCAAGTGAACGAGAGAAACTGTACTCTGTAGTCAACTTCCTGCCGTGCCTGAAAAATCGCGGAATCATTTTTCATAGGAATCAATATTACAACCCCACCTAAGTAATCCTTCCTAATCCAGAAAACACTTCAGAATTTCGGTTACGATTTCGCGAGATTGGTGACCTACTGTATGCTGGCCCCACTCTTATGTATGATGATTCCATAGAATGACCTTCTGTCCGAAGCGCACTCAAGCAGTTAATCAGTACTTGCGTCAAAATGTATAAACAAAATTGTTTACATGGTGTTTTCAACGAGGAAATGACACGAAACTCAAGTCGGTACATGCAGGTATGTGGAAGCGGCTCCCTCTTGAATTCTATGGACTTCCATTGTCCGTGCGTGGTACACACTGTAAGAAGTACTGACTCATGGGTAAATACCTCTGAACGAGTAAATTATAGCTTTGGATCTTTGAAAAAAGTGCGAAGCTTCTTAATGCACAGTAGGTGTGCTAACTCAAGAAATGTTAACCAAAATTCTGAAATGTGTTTTGGTTTCAAAAAAATTACTTAAGTAGGGTTATAAAATTAGTCATCATGCAGCATAATTTTATAATAGTTCAGTTGCCAGTACATGCTGGTTTTTAGACGAATATTTTTCAGGCCGCATGCAATAATGGCACTCTGCACAACATGACTACTTAAATAAGACGACTTTTTCTCATTGGTTTTCATGGAAAACATGCATACAGATATGTATCCTTTAAGCATTTTTTTAATTTGATAATTGGAGAAAGGGCATAATTTAATTCGAAGAGTTTTCTTATTATGACATTTTTAATACCGTAAAATGTTCGTCCGTAAAACATCGTGTCTCTGCACTTACTAATGCTACTCGTAGAGTTTACAATGTGGCTCAAATTGTGAGATTTTTTAATACCGCGAAATGGTCGTTCATAAAGCGTCAAGTCTTTGCATTTACCACTGTGGCTTGTAAAGTTAACAATATGACCCAAGTCCACTGTTAAATTTGATGAACCCCATTTAGTCTCCTTTTAATACCGTGGAGAAATGTATGGATTTCTGTACGCGGAAAATAAACGGCTTATAATTGGGAAACTCTGGATGCAAGTGTATCGGCAGGTCGGGTTCAAAATTATTCGGGAATTGGAAAGATTTGAAAACCGAATTATGACCTTCCTACGAGTATAAAACTGAAAGACGACGCAATTTTCTACTGAAGAAGTAAAACATGAATATTTGTATGCATGTTTTCCATGAAATATAATTTAATTTTTGCGGGCATCAAAAATCAATGAGAAAAATTCGTTCTACTTTAGTAACCATCTTTTACAGAGTGTCATTATTGCATGCGGCCTGAAAGGTGTTCGTTTGAAAGCCAGAATCTCATGGCAACTGAATATTTATAGAATTATGCTGCATTATGACTAATTTTAAAACCCTCGTTAAGCAATTTTTTTTGAAACGAAAACACATTTCAGAATTTCGGTTAACATTGTACGAGTTAGCATGCCCACTGTAATGTTAACGCTTAAAATTGAGTTTTATTCCAATGAACCGATTTTCCGCGTTCATTGTTGCACCAATGAAAAATAGCTCTGCGGAGAGACAGCCTAGGCGGGCCAGTGGGAACGGGCAACCACCGAAACAGCACTCCGTTAGTTCATTTGTCCCTGTAACTATGAGATAAAACCGTCCACAGCCTTCGGACAGGTGTTAGGTGTGAAAAGGCAAAGATTAGCGACAGGTGACCGGACGCCGGACGGTGTTTGGCAAAGCAGCAACATGGAGATTCGTCGATAGGTGGAGGACAACAGCCTACCGAATGCAAAAATATAACCCTGGCCGGCGGCGAGAGAGAACTTGTACCGTTCTTGGTTCATTCGCGAGATGAGCGTCCATTGACCGTGCTGGCTATCGGCGTTGGGTGGTTGGAAAACTTCGACTGCATCCGAGGCGACACCTCCCGCGGCAATGATCCTCCCTCTCAGTACAGCTACCCCGAGACCGCAGCGAGCAATGTTCAGGGGCGCGGCCTCACGCCAGAAGTTGGAGCTGCTGATGTCTTCCGAGAGCCTGTCTGGCAGTTGACAGTACTCGACTTTGGCCAGATCACGCTCGTTGTAGCCACCAATGACGAAGACCTGACGAGTTGCCAAAGCCGCCAGACCGGGAGATGTGCGTACCTCGCTGAGGGCTGGGAGACGGATCCATCTGGGGTGGAAGTTTGAGAATTGAAAAATGTTCTGATTTCTTGGCAATTTGAATGTCGGGAGTCACAGATTTGGAATCAAACAGCCTAATGCTAGAATCCCCTCAGGTACATCAGGTTTGGTTTGGAGTCTTGGAGGTGGCTTTCAGCTTGTATAGCCTTTTGCAGAAAGCCCGCAAAGCTCTGCACAGAGTCTGAACGACCGATATGAGAATGTGGGTTCGTGGAAAACACCGAACTACAACGGAAAGTACCTTGACACCTGACAGCAGCAGTTCGCACTTAAGATGACTTCCACAGAATTCGGTGTCTTTGTTCAGTGGAATACAGCAGGCAGAATACCTACGTGTTTGTTAGGATAATGGTAAGGTCGCAGTTGGTAGCTAGACATTATACGGTGATACTGTCGACGTACGTACTTGTTATCAGTAGGTGTGCTAACCTTGTCTAGGGAGCTTGTTATCTGCAGGTGTGCACTTATTGATTTAGGCAGGTCGTCCGTTTCGGTCAGGCTGTTGGGTTTAGTGAGGGGTAGGGTTAGGCGTAGGTTAAGTTTTAGGATTAGAGTTTACTTTTTAGGGTCAGATTTCAGTGTTAGGGTTTAGGTTCCCGTTAGGGTTACGGTTAAGGTTAAGGTTACGATTAGGCTAAGGGTTAGGGCTGAAGTTAGCGTAGGGATTAGGGTCAAGGTTAGGGTTATGGTTTTGGCTAGGTTTTTGGTTAGCGTTAGGTTTTAGGATCTTGGTTACGTTTCGGTTTTGAGGCTTAGTGTTAGTATTTACTGTTTCACTCAGGGTTAGAATTTAGGGTTAAGTGTAGGGTTTTAACTTCTGCCATTATTCCACCTACTTAAAACTTCCCATTACTTTCTATGGTAACTTTACTTTTGCCCAGCTACTCCAGCATTCCTCTACCAGCCCTTCAATTTAACCCACCCATATAACCCCCTTTCCCACCGATCCCGTACGACAGGGCCCTGGCTGTCCGCCTCCCCCCTTCCTGGCTACCAACTGCGATCTAACCAGGATAATATTTTAAGTGATACCCTCGTGACGTAGGCTCGAAAGCTTTCAGGTCCTCTAACTCTTGTGCTGAAGTCCCTCCGTGGAACATGAAGAACGTAAATATCCCCAAGCCCTCTTATGTTACGTTAATCCATAAAAAAAGTTATTTTTTTATGTTTGCGGATGCTGCATGCATTCGCCCATGCCATAAGTTTTCTGCTGGAGGGGAGGAAAATAAACGGATCGCAGGAAGCAAAACGATCTAGCCCACTTTTCTAAAAAAGACGGCAGGTCTGACTTATATGGCCCCTAAGTAATGAAGAGAGACCTGCGCATACTTTCGGAAAGGGGAAAATATTCCTGTGTCCCAACCCCAACAATGGCCCAAATATAAAATTAGACCGTCGCCCTGATCTTGAACCTAACCCCACCGACGATGATTGTTTGAACCCGACCGACCTCGATGTAGTGCCGAATCCGAAAAAGACTGTCTGATTCGAAACTGCTGACGGGACGTTGTTTTTACGATGATATCGACCTGCTGGCTCAACCTCGTCTGTCGGACATGCATGCCGTGCTTGTGCTGGTCCGCTAGAACAACACGGGGACCATATAGGATTCTGGCAGGCGTTATCGGATTTGCACTCTATAACAAATACTAACGTTTGGGGGTGCGGTGGCAGACCCGGTTGCCGACAGAGGTGGCGCACGCTGGGACCCCTGCCGCAGTCCCCTCATTTTTGCTGTTAGTTAAAAGTCTGGTCATTTGCTGTGTGGACCAGGGGTGTGGAGTGGAGCGCCAAGGCGTGGGCTCGACCGTGCTATCCACCCGCGCCCCGTCCCACCTCCGGTTTTCCTGACTTTGTCTTGACACCCGGTTCAGGTGGGGGAGGAGGAGAGAGTACGGTAGATGCTGTGCAAGTCTACAGTCGCTTCAAACTAATTCACGCACAAGTCACCGCCCCTGCTCTCACCTTCCTGTGGAGCACACGGTGGACGTCGTTGGCAACGACGGTCGAATTGTCGGTTAAGTGTCCGCTCGCAGGTGAGTGGTGATGGTTGACTGACGAGGACACCAGATAAATTTTAAACACCTGCTATCACAGTCGCCTTCCGTTTTATCGGTATATCCCAGATCTCCTGCTGTGTCACTTGAATCAAGCGGGAGCTATCGGGGTATCGAAGGGATACAGGGAAGCAAGGGTCCCACTAAAATTGGATGTGATCAGAATGGTCGAAACCGTTAGACTGTGGAAAAGGAGTACAAACTGGTCAAATGTGTTGCGTTTGAAAGTGGCATGCGGATCAACTTCTGTCTTCCAAAGTTACGGGCCAGAGGGAAAACCGTAGCACTGAATTGGAGACTAGAGGCGCCCTTGATGTGGTAAGTTGAAGTACTGTCCTGCTGGGCTGATGACGGCTAATGAGCCAGAAATGTCCACTCCGGTCTTTCGTGTCTGTGTCTGTAATGTTATTCTGCTAATTTACTCTTTATCCTCAAATACTCAAATGACGCGCCTCACTCGAGACCACACCCCTATAGGCGAATTTTTGGTTAATTACCTCGTTCCTGATTGGTTACCTGGTTGGCCATATTTTCTCTGTGTGAGTGTCCCTTAATAGGCCAAAATCAACCATTCTTCTATTTTCCCTGCTGAAGCGGAGATAAAAATTGGATGTTTCTGCCAAATCGCAGGCGAAGAAGGTACAGACCAACAGTCAGCTAGCCGAGTAATGTGTCGTAAGCAGCACATTGTGAATGTCCATCATTTGCCGCTATGCGACCTGCCGTGAACGTTCTAGGCCAGGACTCAAAGTCAAAACGCAATCGTTCATTTTCCGTTCTGTAAAGAATACAGATTGATGAACGTCACTACTACTCTATATTACACATTCCCCACAATCACTGGACACTGTGATTCCAGAATCTGGAGACGCACACGAAGGCCCCTCATAATGCAAATATCATAATTTCAAATAAAACAGCTAATGCAAAAGAGCGATATGAGCAGATGGTGCCTCGTCTGCATTTACGCATCAGAGAAAGTAACGCACATTGAGCGCGCCTTCTGCGTACCCAGTTGCGTATGGTCTTTTCTGTTGTTTTTTGCAAGATTTAAGAAGTGCAGGATATGGTGCGCTAAGTCTCCATTGTTACTTCTCACATTCGCACGGCAGGTCGGGAGCGGCAACGCTCGCCAAGTGTCCCCCCCCGGAGGGCGGGGGTGGCTGCAGCTTCCGTGATTTGCGCGTGAATTACAGTAGGTGGGCTAACTCATGAAATGTCAACCGAAATTCCGAAATGCGCCTTCGTTCCGAAAAGATTAATTCAGTAAGATTGTAAAAATAATCAGTCTGCAGTATAATCCTGTAAAAATTCAGTTGCCGCAGGATGCTGCCTTTCGAAGGAACTTAATTCCGGCTGCATACAAAAACTACACTCTGCGCAAAAATTACTACTTGCGTAGCATGCATTTTTTCTCATTGATTTTTGAAGCCCCGAAAAGTCCAATTATATTTCATGGAAAACATGCATAAAAGTATTCATTCTTTCGCTCCTTCGGTAGATAATTACGTCTTCCAATTTTATAATCGAAGGAAGGGTAGAGTTCGGTTTTCAAAAACTTTTCCAATTCCCGAATAATTTTGAGCCCGCTCTAAAGTTGCACTTGGATTCAGGGTTTCCAAACTGCAAGCCGTATATTTTTTAAAACCAAATTATGCCCCTCCTTCGAGTATAAAATTCGAAGAAGACGTAATTATCTACCGGATGAGCGAAAGAATGAATACTTTGTGCATGTTTTCCATGAAATATAATCGGACTTTTAGGGACATCGAAAATCAATGAGAAAAAATGCATGCTACTTAAGCAGTCATTTTTTACAGAATGTAGTTTTTTTATGCAGCTGGAATGAAGTTCGTTCAAGAGGGAGCATCCTGCGGTAACTGAGTTATTACAGAATTACACTGCAGACTGATTATTTTTACGACACTACTTAATTAATCTTTTCGAAACGAAAACACATTTCCGAATTTCGGTTGACATTTCATGAGTTAGCCCACCTACTGTAGTTTATAGTGACGGAGGCAAGAGCCGCATTTAGCACACTCCCTCCTTCCTCACCCACCTCGCTCCGATTGTAAGGCGATATCAAAACGACAAGATGTCAGCGCAGACACAATTGCTAACACACTTAGACAGCTCGTTTACGCGTGCCACGCACAGCCTAGTTCCCGGTACATGTGTGAGACTAAGTGAAGAAGAAGAGTCGAGCACCGGAACACTTTTTTTATTGTCCTGAGCTTTCAGACTCGTGCAGGAGTCCATCGTCAGAGGTAGTAGTAGCAACAGAACAAGCGACAGTTATAAGGCATGTAGGCCAATCATCGACCGACGGCGCAAGACTGGAGGTGACTACGCAGGGTTCCGTGCGCCGGCGCCAGATCGATAAATCGATCGACCGAGTTCTCATCCGAAGTCCAGGCTTCAATCCATTCTCGGCCTGTTTTGTTTCCGGCGTGGGCGACTATTTTGATGGCTGCGAAGTTAAACTCGCGACCCATTTCGTTGGTGTGGGCGACCACTTGTGATAATACGTCGCCTCGTCGAAGCGCCAGCTTATGTTCGTGAATGTGCGATCCAAGCATGCGTTCAGTCTGCTCTGTGTAGTTACAGGGACAATTTTGAGACCCAGAATGCACTCAAAATTGAACACCTCATGAGGCTGTTCGAATTATGCCAACAAACTTTCTTCACTTTTGCGGGAGAGACCTATAAACAAATCAAGGGAACCCCAATGGGCTCACCGGTCTCTGGTTTAGTGCAAAACTGGTTGTTCAGGAGTTAGGAAAGATTGCCTTCATCTAACATGAGCCGGTATTTTGGCGCCGTTACGTAGACAACACATTCGTCATCGTAAAGAAGGACATGCTGCAACATTTCCACAGCCTGCTCAACGCAGTCTTCCCTGATATAAAATTCACGAGGGAAGAAGACCAGGAGCACCGGTTGCCCTTCCTGGATGTGCTTGTCGGATCAAACCTTAACGGTGAACTTGAAACGACGGTTTATAGGAAGGCAAAGAACACCACACAGCTTCTCAGTTTTCACAGCAACCATCCGGTGGCTCACAAACGAAGCTGCGTGAAGACGCTCTTCAAACGGATCCAAACTAATTGCAGAAAACCAGAGGACAGAGCATGTGAGGCCCGTTATCTCCGTGACCAGTTTGTGCAAAATGGTTATCCGAGGGCATTCATAGGTAGCTGCCTACGCTGTCGCCACCAGAGAACTCAAACTTCAACGCCACCGACGATATGGCATTCTCTTTCATACATGAAGGACGTTTCAGAAGCGACCGAGCGCATTGCTGCGGAGTTAGGTGTTGGAATTGCACACCGTCCCAAAGCCACCATGCGCAATACGGTCATGGAAATCAAAGACCGGTTAAAGAAGATGGAGATGCGATCACTGGAACAAGAAATTTATTGGCCTGACGTTTTGGATTCTCACTCGAGTGAGAATCCGAAACGTCAGGCCAATAAACTTATTGTTACAGTGATCGCATCTTCATCTTCTGAACTGCTACCTGTAACCCGCCTGTTCGTTTCTATCAGCAGACCGGTTAAAGCCTGAAGAGCAATCTGGGGTGATGTATCGCAGCCCGTGTCAAAACTGTTCAGACAGGCTAGACTGGACGCATGCTCGGATCGCGCAAACACGAACATAAGCTGGCTGTGCGACGAGGCGACGCAGTATCACAAGTGGCCGCCCACACCTACAAAATGGGTCACAAGTTTAATTTTACAGTCACCAAGACAATCGCCCACGCCGGAAACAAAACAGGCCGAGAATTGATTGAAGCCTGAGCCTCGAATGAGAACTTGGCCAATCGATTTATTGATCTGGCGCTGGCGTACAGAGCCCTGCGTAGTCACCTCCAGTCTTGCGCCGTCGGTCGATGATTGGCTTACACCCCAGATCGATAAATCGATTGAATGAGTTCTCATCCGAGGCCCAGGCTTCAAGCAATTCTCGGCCTGTTCTTTTTTCCGGCTTGGGCGATCTGGCACCGGCGTACAGAGCCCTGCGTAGTCACCTCCAGTCTTGCGCCGTCGGTCGATGATTGGGCCTAAATGCCTTATAACTATCGCTTGTTCTGTTGCTGCTACTACCTCTGACGATGGACTCCTGCACGAGTCTGAAAGCTCAGGACAATAAACAAAGTGTTCCGGTGCTCGACTCTTCTTCTGCACTTATGCATACACCTGCAACTCGAAATTTCGCCTTCATATGTGAGATTATTGCAGAGGCAACCCGGACCTCACATGCGTGAGAGTGCCATAAAGACCAGAGTATGAAGGAGCCATTTACATCCTGACACGCCAGAATTCACAGAATGCGCACGTAGGATAAGAATATGTAGCACTTACTTATTGGTACTCATCACGTAAGCTTCACATGTTGCTAAACGGCCACGGACATCGAATCCTCCACCAACGACAATGTCATCACCCGATACAGCAGCGCCGTGGTACGATCTTTCCGTCCTCATCGGCGCCACGGGGAAGGAGTGTCGCAGCGGGAGACTGTAGGCGTCCACAAGGCGCGTGGCTTGCCCATTCACTTCTCCACCAATTGTGAAGATGACAGCTAGCGGCCGGAAAAAAAGGTCAGTGAAAGAACCTCTCGAGGGAAGCAAATCCATATGGTGTAAGCAGCTATGTCTTCAAAAGTACCTACTGTATTGTACCGTTTACCAGAACGACGCAGGCGAAGTCCCTTCTCTGGATGTGCCCAATGGCATGCGCAGTACTGGCGTGCGAGTCGTACGTCTGCAGAAGCCAGCCGTGTTCCTCGGAGCCCTGTGAGGGGCCAAAGACGAGGAAGGTGTCTTTGCCGTATTCGCCTCCCCCGATTTCCTCAAATCTTCGCCGTCTGCGGTCGACCAGAGGCATAATCGGAGTGGCTGCTGCTACGGCAGTAGCGTCTGTCGCGCGTTCTTGCGCGTCACTGGCTAGCTGCCAACATGACCTTGTTCGACTAGCGAAGGTTACAGCTGTGTACGAAGCTAGGGTGTTTCCATTCTCAAGGTCACTGTCTGTTTGGCGAATTGAACGCAGCGTACGCCTAAAAGGCGCGCGCGCGTAATCAGCATACAGTCCCATTGGCGATTGTCGAGGGTGTGATTAGACTACAAGCGTCATCCTTAGATCGTGTGAAAGGCCTTGCGGCTCAGGTGGTTAGAGTGTTGGCTGTGTCCAAACAATGCCCTTGCTGCCGTAGGTTCGAATCCCACCGAGGTTGCTGAGTGTCTCACAATTGTTTGAGATGAATATTCACATACCTCACGTTGCATGCATCAAAATCGGCGTCATTAGGCGCCCGGATGAGATGTAACCTACATGACCATTTCAGCCCTTCGATATTTTACCACGCATAGACATTGGCAATCGAAATTTACTCTCCCCTTCATGCATAAAAGTGAAAAAGTTTATATGTATCTAGTATGAAACACCAGAGAGGAAATTTGTGTGCATTGAGTCATTAAATATGATGAATTTAAACAGTTGTTGGAACCATTTATAGCCAGCGTTAATTTCGTCACTGGCGGAAAACATACCCGAGAGAGCACCAGCGTACTGGCGTGTATGGAACATCTTAGAATTACGATATATTCTAGTCTGTCCTGCAAACCTGGTCAAGTATTCCATGTGTTTACGAGATTGTAATTTAGAAATTCAGCCAGTATTTCGTGTATTTAATGTTGACTCCAAGAAAATTACCACGTATATCAAATCCGTTCACCTAGGCAAGACCTAGGAAAGGTCTCCGTCCATCCATTATTTGCCGCGTGACTCAGTTAGCAGTTTGACCGTCAGTTGCGACGATTTCCCCGTGTGCGTCACGGTAGGGTGAGAGCATGGACGATGACTTGCGCGTAAATTAGTTTATAGCGATGACGGACTTGCACTGCATCTAACACACTCTCTCCTCCTTCCCTACCTAGGTCCGGTGTCATGACCAAGTCAAGATGATCGGAGGCCGGGGAGGGCGCAGGTGACCTGCACGTCGAACAGCCGCGCCAAGGCGTACCACCACAGCCTCTGGTCCAAAAAACACATGACCAGGATTTTCAACAACAAAGTGGGGGACGGAGGGGTGTGAGTCTTCAGTTGGGCCTGCCACCACAACCCGAATGTGGGCACTTGTCAGGTAATGAAACAAAAAGACCCGCTGCCACGGTAAGAAACGTCTGGAGTCGTTTGTCGGGTCTGGTGCAGTTGCGGACAAAGTAACTATGTCGGAAAAACCGGAAGACAGCTCCGAACGCGGATGACCGAGCACGCTGCAGCGGTGCGGAGAAATGACGCCAGCTCTCAAGTTGCGGCTCATTCGACGAGATCCGGCCACACATTCAAATTCGACGAGACCGAAATTCTCGCGAGACGTAACAACTGCGTGGGCCGGGAGCTGCATGAGTCATGGTTCACTGACCTCCAGTCCATTAATAAGTGCACTGACCTTCCCCTTCCATACTCGGTGCTGAGACTTCGCCTAGGCGGAGTAATTGGCCACGCGGGGAGCGCACAGGTGAACACTCTTACCAACGCCACGGTCGGTAAGTCAGATGATCGAGCAATCGTCACACCAACATCCAACGCATCTGATGAGATTGCAGCATTTGGCAACGCAAATGTCGGCCATCAAACAGTCATCACACCGCATGCAACGGCCGCTCATGAAGGGGGGAGACGTGAATTTTCATAGGTATGCGGTATCATGGCGACTGCATCCTATGAATACTGCAGCCACCTGTGCATGAACCAACCGTATCTGTTTTTGTATCTGATGATGGGTTCTAGCAGGAATCCGAAACGTCAGGCTGATAAAGCTCGTGTCTCAGCGATCGTGTCTCCTTTTACGATTCCCGATAACGCCTGCTGGGCATCAGTCTAGCCTCTACATAAGTCCAGCACAGTCACCATGTGGTCCTTCGTAGGGACCCAGACAAGCAGGTTTCCGTATTTCCGAAATTGCCTATGAACGTGCATTTTGAGACTAGAGCGTTGGAGATAAATTCTGTAATATTTCGCTTGAAGAAAATGCGATCAGTCCAACCATCCTCCAATCAGGGGATTAATCATAACACGCACAGCTGTCAAGGTCGCCAAACATCCGCCAAAAGGCGGAGAAAGCGAAAGGGGAAAAACGAAGGAAGCACTGCTTCATAAATGACGCACCACTTGTATTTCTGTTCTTTTTGTGTATTTAATGGGTTGACAATGGCAATCTGATTAAGATCTCCGAATGATCAGCTTTTCTATAAACCTGTTTCATTGAGATCTTCCTGTTTTTCAAAACAACCAATGATGTTGCGTCGAGATATCGGCCCTTGAATGGGATAATACGGCACCCCATACACTATTCGGTTGAAACCCGCAGTCTCACAGGAGCCAGGTGCGTAATAGATGTAAGAGTGCAGCAGATGTCCCGTAAGTTCCCCCGCCTTGAAATTCAAAATTATGCTGGGTGATGAGATGCGTGACCGCTATAAAGCGGGCCATTGACATGTACAGTACATGCACAGTAACTAGTGAAAGTATTAACTGCATTTTCACCGGAAGTAATTTCGAGCTTGTTTTCATGTCCCAAATTTTAGCATGTTTGGAATCCAGGAGTACCCTCACTGGGGAGAAGCGATGCCAGGAACTCGATGAACGGACCCCGGTTGGTACTGCGTGAGCATGCAAGTGGGTCTGCCATCACATCCGTAGCGATGGCATTTGTTATGCGTGCGCATTCCCGTTGATAATTCAACTGTCGCATCCGACAAGGTCTATCATCTGTTCCGCAGCAGGATGAGGCAGTCACGATGACTTGCGCGTGAATGGGCTTACGCAGAATCTACCGCACTCGCTCCTCCCCCTCCCCCCACCTGGACCCTGTGTCAAGACGAAGTCAAGAAGACCGGAGGCGGGGAGGACAGAGGTGGATGCCTCGGCTGAAGCCGCACCTTGACGTTCAACTGCACACCTCCCGGTCCACAACAAACGTCTGACCAGGACTTTGACCAACAACAACAGAAATGACGTGAATGACTGCGCAGCCATTCACACGACCTGTATACACAGCGGGAGCGAGAAGGCATCTACCACTAGAGAACCAAAGACCGGAGAACTGCCAGCGCACACCAGGCTGCGAGGGGGCCATGGTTTGCTGATCATGGTATAGCAGACGCCCACACACATTGGGTCCGATAACTTCTGTCAGACTCAGATCTAGCTTTGAAATTCAAAATTATGCTGGGTGATGAGATGCGTGACCGCTATAAAGCGGGCCATTGACATGTACAGTACATGCACAGTAACTAGTGAAAGTATTAACTGCATTTTCTCCGGAAGTAATTTCGGGCTTCGTTTCACGTCCCAACTTTTAGCATGCTTTGGATCCAGGAGTACCCTCACTGGGGAGAAGCGATGCCGGGAACTCGATGAACGGACCCCGGTTGGTACTGCGTGAGCATGCAACTGCGCCTGCCATCACATCCCTAGCGATGGCATTTGTTATGCATGCTGCATCCGACGAGGTCCACCGTGTGCTTCGCAGCGGAGTGAAGCAGTCACGGTGACTTGCGCGTGAATGGAATTGCGCTGAATCTACCACACTCGCTCCTTCTCTACATCTGGACCCTGTGCCAAGCAAGGAGTCAAGAAGGCCGGAGGCGGGAAGGACGCATGTGAATGGCTCGGCCGACACCGCACCTTGAAGCTCAACTCCACACCTCCAGGTCCACAACAAACACCTGACCAGGGCTTTAACCAACAACAACAGAAATGACATGGATGACTAGGCAGCCATACGCACGACCTGCATACCCAGCGGGAGCGAAAACGCATCCACGTCTAGAGAACCAGGTGCCGGAGATCGGGCAGCGCACACCAGGCTGCGAGGGCCATTGTTTGCTGATTATGGCATCGCAAACGCTCACACATCCTGGGCCCGATAACATCTGCCAGACTCAGATCTAGCCCCCTGCGTTGGTCCGGCACATCTTCCGTGATTTCCGTATTTTGGAGCAATCACCCTTACCGTCTCGGTCAGCATCATCATCATCATCATCATCATCATCATCATCATCATCATCATCATCATCATCATCATCATCATCATCATCATCATCATCATCATCATCATCATCATCATCATCATCATCATCATCATCATCATCATCATCATCATCATCATCATCATCACCACCACCACCACCACCATCATCATCATCATCATCATCATCATCATCGACACATCACCAGTTAGGGGTGTGGACTTCAAGGACTCCGGACATCGCTGATTTTAAAAAACGACCATCAGCAAGCACATTACAGGGAAGGAAACGCTTGAAATTATTAACTGAGCCCTAAACACAAAAGAATTTTCCCCAGAAGTGATTACGTACTTCTTTCCGTGTCACAACATTTTGCATGTTTTTAAATCCAGGAGACACCCCACTGGGGAGAAAGGTCGTCATGAACCCGAGAAATTTTGTCGAATTTGTGTGGAAACCACTTGACATTAACTAACTGACGAGGTTATATTCTTCTCTTATGAAAAAATCGGTCTCACATTCCCTCGAGAAGTTGAGCGAATTGGCCTACATGGTCTTGTCTTATCCAACTTTTTCGCCAAACTTCTTACTAACGGGTTATCGGTTTTGAAGCATGAGAATATTCCGGAAAAATCGTCCTCATTTGAAAACACACTCATGTAATTTTTCAGTTCCAGTTTACCTGAAGTGCCCCGCAATGCAATAAGTAGAATAGTATTTTCTTAGTTAAAATAACCAAAGCTGTATATTTTTTATTTAAACTAACAATGTGTTCATGGCAAGACCGAAGTTCATTTTGTCCGAGTCGATAGTCTGACCACCGGAAGCGACGACCACCACCGAGTGCTC